TAAGGGCTGTCTCTTATACACATCTAGATGTGTACAAATAAAAAGATGAGGTCCTCACCCGTGTAGGTGGTGATTCAAGCCTCAAGGAGCGAAGATGAATGCGCAGGTTATTCAACTGTGGGCGTTTTGTTGGGGATTGAGCGATGTTTTTTTTTTTTTTTTTTTTTTCAAGTTCTTGGTTAGAAAATAGAGAAACTCCTAAAACGTCGGGCGTCGGGGCTGACAAATCTCATCGGCGGTCGATGTTTCATTCCAGCCTCCTAAAAGATCGGAGGCCCACCCGAGGCTCCCTATTTTCGACGATTGCCATTGATAAAAATCTGATCCATGGCCGCTGTTTCGTTCCGGCCTCCTAAAAGATCGGAGGCCCACCCGATGCTCACGCCACCCGAAGCTCCTTATTTTCCCAACCTTAGGATCAGATCCATCTACCCTGGATTATTCATTTTTGACCCTCGATTACAAAGATCAACGGTCAGAAATGAATAATGGGGGCTACTGGGAGTGGGATCTGGCCCTTGAAAAGGAAGAGGTGGTGGTGGTTTAAGTGAAGCAAAGCGGGAGGCCCACCCGAGGCTCACAATATTTCTTGAACTAACTACCATCTTCCCCCGAACACCATGCACCCTTACTTTGGCTGTATCTGGCCGGAAATATAGCTTGTATACATTCATTTTTAGGGTGCGTTATGTTTGGGTGAAGAGGGAAGCAATCCTCTCACAGTTCGATATTTTCTCTAGCCCACCGCCCGGCACCCCCGAAAAATGAAAAAACAAATTGCGAAGGAAGTTTAAGGAACACTGACCGCTTTGGGCAACTTGCTGTGTCTTTCTTTGTTTTTTTTTGTCTTTTTTTTTTTTGAATGCTGTGTCTGGTAAAAGCGAAATTCTTTGGCATTCAGGAGGTTGTGGGTTCAAGACCCAGGGCCGCCTGCGGCACACTTAGTGCCAACAGACTGTGATAGTTCTCTGGATACCCCTGATCTGTATTAGCGGGGTCTATGACCAACACGGGTGTGAGTGTGAGCACGAGTGGGTTGTGTGATGTGTGGGAGAGTGTTGGCCATAGCCTCTGCTGCTACTCGATGAAGGGTGGGGGACGATGAGAAAGGGAGGCACAGCTACTGGCAGGTCTCGGTCTTTGTGTTAGCCAGACCCCCACTGGCGGCCCCAACCCTATACCCCAACCATTAGGGGCAAGGGGCAACATGAAATCTCCTCTTCACAGAGAGAGGAAAACTATGCTTTCAGGGGTCCCCTCTAGATAGTCTTAGGAGTAGGTAATGGAAGGTAAAAGAAACAGAAGTTGAGAGAAAAGAAAAGAAAAAAAAAATTATTTAGCAAATTTAAAATTATGTATGTTTTTTAATTATTATTTGTAGTAATGTTATACATATTTTTGACCCGGCTGGGCATGTGGTCCCGGCTCACTCTGCTGGTAGCCTAGCTTTCTCCTGTTTTCTCAGCACAGAAAATCGTAATGAACCTGTCACGCCGCTGCCACTCAGTGTCACACTGGATCGGTCACACTCCTATCCGACTGCTAATGGGAGCATGCTCCAGAGGATCCAGGATTATTCCTTTTTCTGGGCGGCAGAAAAAAGAAAAAAGAAAAAAGAAAAAAAAGATTGACTGTTATTAACTTATTAATACTATGGGGCTCGTTCGACACTCCTCCGGCGCGTAAAGTCCCCGAGGAATAGTTTGTTCCACCTATCCTCGGGGATGCAGTCGGCAAAGAAAAAATGAAAACACGGTGCTCCGTTTCTCTGACAGAAATTACGTTGTTCTGGTAAACTCCTTCTCGTTTGATAAAGATGGAAGTCTGATTTAAACGACCAGGTGCGGCATCACATTTGACACCTAAGGAAGGTACTGCCCAACTGTGAAGCACATCAGCAGATGTTATAGTCATACGTAAACAAGTTTTTTTTTTTTTTTTTTTTTTTTTTTCCCCTATTCTCTTCTGGCAACTTCTGTTTCTTTACCTTCCACTACCTACTCCTAAGACTATCTAGAGGGGACCCCTGCAAGCATAGTTTCCTCTCTCTGTGAAGGGGAGATTTCATGTTGCCCCTTGCCCCTAATGGTTGGGGTATAGGGTTGGGGCCGCCAGTGGGGGTCTGGCTAACACAAAGACCGAGACCTGCCAGTAGCTGTGCCTCCCTTTCTCATCGTCCCCCACCCTTCATCGAGTAGCAGCAGAGGCTATGGCCAACACTCTCCCACACATCACACAACCCACTCGTGCTCACACTCACACCCGTGTTGGTCATAGACCCCGCTAATGCCGATCAGGGTTATCCAGAGGACTATGACAGTCCGTTGGCACTAATTTCTTATCGTCCCCCACCCTTCATCGAGTAGCAGCAGAGGCTATGGCCAACACTCTCCCAGACACCACACACAACCCACTCGCGCTCACACTCACACCCGTGTCGGTCATAGACCCCGCTAATGCCGATCAGGGGTATCCAGAGGACTGTCACAGTCCGTTGGCACGAAGTGCGCCGCAGGCGGCCATGGGGCTTGAACCCACAACCTACTGAATGCCACTTGCATGCCTAACCAACTGAGCTAGGCCGCTGGATTGGCTGGTACAACCACTCGATTATCTACTTCTAATAAACATAATTGACCCAATTGGATGAAGAGGTTTCTCCCTGGTCTCAACAAAACCTGCACAGTTAATCCTCTGGAAGCCAGAGTAATCAATGCTGGCAGGTTTCTCACTCCTTTCCTCAATTTTTCTCATTCATTCATCTTGTACCTACTTTGTATAAGGGACGCTGGACCCGTTTTCCAGCAGGTGATGCTCCCCACCAATAGATGGAGCCTCTCCCCAGGTGCTAGTGGTGTCTGCTCTTATCGGCACCACTAGCACTGCAGGGGGTGTTTTCCTAAAAATATATATATATATATATATATATATATATATATTTATATTTGACAATATATATATAAATAATAATAATAAAAAATTATAAATCATCCTCTGGAATCATATATCTATCAAAAGTAAGTGATTGTTCATCAGTGTTCGCAAAAGAGGGCAAGAACAACTCCATGCAGCATTTGCTCTAGGTGAGGGGTTCGAACCCTAAACCCACAAACAGCACTCCTGCCGCCTGTTTCCAGGCAAAAGGGCGCAGATAAGCAGCGTCACGTCAAGGAGGAAAGAAGGCCCTGTTGAGCTTGACTCTAGTTCGGTTCTGTGAAATGATTGAGGGGAAGAGGCGTCCGTTCGTTTTGAGTGACAGACTGCCCCGTGCGAGGGGAAAAGCAAGGGGAAAAAGGAGGAAAAAGGACAAAAAAAAAAAAGGAGAGAGAGAAAGGGGAAAGAGGGAAAAGGTAAGGACCGCGAATGCGGCCGTGGTTGTGCCCCAGATACAGGTCACCTAAGTCTGAGTGTGACCACTTGGACTGGGCCTGAGATCTGAAAGGCCATACGGCAGAAATAGCCAAGTAAGGCCATTTCTGTGGCGTACCTGCACAAAAAAGTGTGCTAGGTATGTCAAACTTTGAAGAGCCATAGATCTTCATAGAAAAGTCGGAAGAATAAAAGAAAAAGCGTTTGGGAAATGACAGACTCTCAGCTATGTCGTGATAATCCGAGATAGCTCAGTTCAAATAAAGAAAAATAAGTAGAGGCAGTTAAAAGCAACTGTCTCTCTAAGTGTATGGCAGTTTGGACCCGGTCTCCATTCACACCTGTGTGAGCCCACACTTTGCTTGACCTTGCTTTGAATGTTCATAGGAAAGGTAGAATTGGGTGTGGGTATGCATGTGAAAAGGGTGGGCTGACTCGGATGGGTTGTGTATGGGTCTCATTTGAGTTTGTTTTGTTTGTTGTGCTGGTAGGTAGAGAGGGATATGCATGTCAGAGGAGAATTTTGTTGTGTCTAATCGGAAGT